CTCTCTCTCTCTCTCTCTCTCTCTCTCTCTCTCTCTCTCTCTCTCTCTCTCTCTCTCTCTCTCTCTCTCTCTCTCTCTCTCTCTCTCTCTCTCTCTCTCTCTCTCTCTCTCTCTCTCCTGGGAACAGCTATAAACTCTCACCTTTGAGCTTGTTGTGGTCAGAGTCAGCAGGGAAGAGAACATCTGGGAAAAGCTTCTCAAAGCTGTACCCTGCGTATCGGGGTCTGTTCTCCACGTAGGTCCTTACAGACTGGTTCAGCTTCATCATGAACTCCTGAGACGGCGTGCCCAGCTGCTCGATCACCTTATTCCACTGGTCAATATCTAGAGTTCACTTGGTTAAGGAGAAAACATGGACAAAAAGCACTGCTTGGGTGGAAATAGTCCTGGAATGGGAATTGCCATCCTTTCTGGCTGCTAATCCATCTTTCTAGCCCAAGCTATCTAGAAGCTTCAAGCCCAAACTATCTACTGTTTAACTAACTCAAGGTGGCTGATCTTTTCAGTCCTGTTCATATAGACATATTTCTGATTTTACAAGCATTGGAAAACCATTTGTCAAAAGAAAAGATCTATTCATTGGGGTTTCATAAATTCAGGTGGAAAAGCCACAGAAAAAAAAAAACAAAAAAAAAAAAACTGTGTTACCTGGAAATGTAATCAGGTCCTACTTACAGTGATACTGTGGCAAAAATAAACCAACATTTATCCGCCAATAATTTTCCACTTGGAAAGGTGAGGTGGAAAGAGCGGCACATGATTAAATATCCTCACCCAGAAGTGGACGGGTTCCCTTTGCGTCTGGCTCTTCTGAAAGTTTCCTCCTCGTGTCATCTCCGGGAGTTTTTCCTTCGCCACTGTCTCCTGTGGCTTGCTCATTAGAGAGCGGAATATACATCCGGATTTCTGCAAAGCTGCTTCGTGACAATGTCTACTGTTAAAAGCGCTACACAAATCAAATGGAACTCTGTATGAGTCGATGATGTGATGTCTAGGGCTACGTCCAAAACTGCGCATTACCGGACTAAATTGTATTTTTCCGAATAAGGTACAACACCTATGGAAGCGTCGCTGCACATTACAGGTTTGAGCCCATGACTGCTTTAACTGGGACTTTTCTGATTATGCCATTTTGATCCTTCTCTTTGACCCTTGCACTGCACTTGGAAGAAATCAGACCTGGACTGAACAGCTGTACTTCCCCCGGACTTAAACAGTACTTAAATTTAAACTAGGTGTCAGTGTTGTTCTGCAGATGAAGGTCATCTGTAGTCCAGGACGAGGCTTTAAACTCGTCCTTCTGCACCAGCATTTAGTGATCGTACACTGAAATAAAAAATGTCCGTCATTCATTTCAATCCGCAGCTTCCACTTGCTAGTAACAGAAGAACACAGACTGGGATTGAACCAAAAAGACACACAAATACCGACACACAAATGGTACAACAATGAAGTTCAGGTAAGGATACGATCAGTGCCTGGAAACAGCACACTGCCTCTGACCATTTCGGCCATGATGCAGCCAACAGACCAGACATCAACTGAAAAAATGAAATGACAACCAAATTAAGAACACACGCAAAAAAAAGAAATGCATATTGCAAACGAAATCCCACACTCAATGCCGACGAATAAACAGGGTGCAGACAAAGTGATGTGGACGTGATGTAAGAAAGAAAAAAAAAAAGACAAGACACCA